ATATACATATGTATGCATACTGATATCAAACGGAGAATATCAATTTCGACATTCCTCTCAAATGTAAGTCGGGACACGCGCGACAATGCACAAGGAAACGACTCCGAGCAGTGTTTACAGGCGTTTAAGAGCAACGTTTCAATTAGTTCCGGTAGAAGCAGCTAACATGCGAACGCGGAACGCTAAATAAGTGGTCAACCGAGCGGGTGGTGAGTATACGAGAGAATGAACGAGAGAGAGAGAGAGAGAGAGAGAGAGAGAGAGAGAGAGAAAATGAGAGAATGGGAGATAGAAAATGAGAGAAAGAGAGAGAAAGTTTAAACACAGTGTCCTTTGTACTCTAAAATTAAGTGATTCACGATCCAGAGACAAATTGTGTCAGGACTTATGAGTATGCGTCTATAATTTTCGGTGCGGCATAATAATTTGCATTTTTATGAGCGATAAACGCGTTTAAGTACGAACGTGTTCGCGCACGTCTAGCCTCATAAAAGAAAATGAGAAAGAGAGAAAGAGAGAGAGAGAGAGAGAGAGAGAGAGAGAGAGAGAGAGAGAGAGAGAGAAAGAGATCGATTACCATATTCTCGTAATCCATCGTTATTATCGAACATGATCGGACAACAATTTTATTTCATGTTTTTTCTCACTAAATAAGTCGATTAAACATAACAGAGAAACGTGTATTACAAGCATAATATATAAACGGCAAGTTTAAAAACGAATGAAATCGTGTCTCTTGTTTTCAATCGATTCAATAAAAGGTTAGAGAACGACGTATATAATTCGCCAAAGAAACACGTGCTGAGGACGTCGCGAAGAGGGCAGAGTCATGGTATTGATAATCAACGGAATGACGCCCGCTGCTCGTCGTAAATAAGATCGAACAGCGATTTCGAACGCGTATTAGTAAATTATGATAAGAAATCATCATGTATATAATAATATATAAAACGTGCGAAACCCGATATATCCATACAAAATTCTTTTCACTTGCGAATAAAATTCTTTTATGTTTATTAAACGAAAGCAAAAAGAAAAAGAAAAAAGAAAAAAAATAACTACCGCCTAAATTTATTTTTTATTCTTCGTTGTCTTTAAAAAAGAAAACAATATATTAGGTATACTTAACTGAATCATATTAAAAATCGGAAAAAGATTTCGTAACTAACGAAAGAACGATCGTTAACATACGGAAAAATCTTAAATGTATATAAAAAAAGAAAAAATAAAAAAAAAAGAGAAAAAGATAAAAAAGAAATATATTACATATACATATACATATACACATATATATATATATATATATATATATATATATATATTACATTGTCAAAAGAAACGATATGATAAGATAATCATAACTAATCGAATAAGTTTGCGTTAAAATATTCGACTAGTAAATAAGTAGGTAGATACATGTGTCGCATGGAAATTAATATACAATCGTACACGAGTTATATCTTCGCGAATATACAAGTGTCAGTAGTAGATAGTGGAGCAGTAAAGAAACCTGAATAGCATTGGATCGTCATGAGAGATAGCGCAAAGAACTGAACGATCGAGAAAAAGGAACGTAAGCTGAAAACGCATGGGTGCGTAGCTCGCATTCGCGCGCGCACACTTCTGCATGGTTGCGTTCGAACGTGTCGGAAGTCGCGTTTCCATAAAAGCGTTCAACATCATCTCTAAAAATACATGTATGTAATAACGGAGGTGGTTTAAACGGCGAAACGAAGCAGCGTCGCGTTTCAATCTGTATCGCGATCCTTCCTTCAAATATGGTACATATGAGCAAAGTAGAAACATGGGTAGGCAACAGGATAGGCGAGAAGCTTTAAAGAAATCAATGATAACGACAAAAATGACAAATCCTTTTGATTCTGTATCAATCTATAAAACCATTTTAAAAATCAATAAACAAATCTAATAAGAATCAGTACGATGTATTGATTGTTTTTTCAATAATGTTTTTATATAAAGCTCCCGTCGAATTTATTTTACGATTAAAATTTACTAAGCGTTCTTTACTTAGAAAAGATTGCGTATGTAGAGAAGAATTTGTTAAATCTGTTTACGCATTATTAGTTTGGATATATCGTCACAAATAATCCTCATTGATCCGATATTTTCGTTTGAATTAATTTGCATTAACTTATTGTTAATTATTTTTTATCTCGGTTATATTAGAGTTTAATACGCATTTATTTGATGTCGATCGGATAATAAAAATTTCTTCAACATTTCGAATTGATTTAATGTCATTTCATCGCAAGAATCACGATAATCGTTGGATTTTAATCTACGATGTAGATCGAACAACGATAAACCGAATGTGTTGGGAAAAATAAATATAATTTTCTAACGTGCGAACAAAATTAAAGGAAAATTAATTTATATGTAGCATTAAACAGGAAACTTTTCAAGAACGAGTAAATTTCTCACGACTCGCGACTAAGCTCATTCGATTTCTCACGCGCTTCGTGCAATTAATAAGCGGCCACCAGTTACGATGAGGACTTTTATGGCACCGCAAAGAACATATTAAATTGAATACTTAGCCACCTAAATATCGGGCCTAGTTGGAGATATTTCAACGGAAATATGCGAAAAGAGGAAGAAAAGAAAAAAGAACGTGTGATACAAAGTGTTCGAGTATAATGTTCGTTTTAAGTCCTACGTTGATTTTAACTAATTAAAGAGTAATAGATATAGTTAAGCGACTGGTAATCTCCGTGTAAGAAGAGCCTACGGCAAGAAGTATAATGACTGACGAATCTATAAGCCTTCGTTAACTTAGTAAGAGCAGGTTCGGTAAGATCAGATCGATCGATTTTCAACGACTTTAAAAAGAATACTAATGACTGTCGATGTACAACGTCGTTCGAGCGTAAAGTTATACCTATCAACTAATACGTAGTTACTATCTCGTTCGTATAAATATACTTTCAATGAAATCGCAATGTAATCAACTACTTCGATAAATAAAAATAAAAAATAAATCAACGACATCGTCATAAACGTTTCGCAAATCGCTTCACGATCTAAGAAGCGACTTTCAAGATACTCGCTTCCTATTCGTTCAAATTCTCACGCACTCCCGCTAATTAACCGGTCGAAGAGCAATGTTCGCCTGATACTTCTTCTTCTTCTTTATTTTTTTTCTTTTTCACAGAAACGTCAAGGAAGCACTAAACTAGAAGATACAACGTAGGAAAAGACGCAAATAAGTACCGATCCCCTCGAGCTCGATCAAACTCCTTTTGCAAGCTTGCACAACTTGATCTATCTCCTTTTCGAGGCGAAGAAATCGCCTTCTTTTCACGGTCGCATCGAGTTTCGCCGCTTCCTCACTCTTGTGCCGTGCAAATCTCCTCACGGAGTCGTAACATCGTTAAGAATTTACTTGCGTTTAATTGACCCATTAGATACCGTTATTTCCACGAGTCGAACATTTTAATGTAAACGCGATTCGAGTTGCATTTAGTTGAAAAACAATTTCAAAGGATCGATCATACGTTAAAAAATGAATAAACATTAAGAGAGATGTAAACATCCGCGATCCTTTTGAGAAAAATTTTAATGGAAAAACGACGTGTCTAAAAACGCAAAAGTGCAAGATAAATACAAACATATATATATATATATATATATATATATATATATATATATATATATATATATATATATATATAGATGAAGCCGCAAAAAAAGAAAAAAAGGAAAATAATAAAAAAAAAAACGAAAATAAAAAAGAAAATACCATGTAAAAGTAATAATGAGCTTCGGACGAGATCGAGATTTCTTTTCTTTTGATAAAAAAGAAAAATAAAGAAAAAAGAATATAGTCACATCATTATCGTTCCTTTGACTCAAGAAAAAGATTTCAGATTCTAGCTGAGTTCTAGTTCTCCGTTGACGGTGACGCGAGACGCATAGACATTCGCGCCTTTCCAAGGAGCAGCAGCTCCCCTCACTGCTCCTCTTGGCTCATACTCTCTTAAAGCTCTGGAGCCGTCGGCTGGTATATACTGTCGTGGCTTGTTACGCGGGAAAAGGAGAAAGAGAAAGAAAGATCTCTTCGGGGCTCTGCTCGTCGCGGCACGGTGGCGCCCGCAGGGCGCCGTCGCGCGCTCTTCCCCCACTTTTTCAACCTGATGCCAGGTCCGTACCAAGCTTCAACATCGTAATATATTCTTCTGTCTATACAATTTCTCTTCTAAAATCTACTCGACAATGTCTAACGAAGGATAATCAAGAAGAATAAACGATGATGAATAAAACAAAAGGGAAAAGAGAAAAAAAGCAAAAAGAAGTTTACTGATTTTTCAGCGGGAACTGCATCGGATTAGAAAAAGCTGATATGCTTTTTTTTTTTATACGTTCGTATATATATAGGCACACACACATATACACAAGATGTAATTCTCGCTGAAAAACCAATACATTTTTTCTTCTTTTTGCTGTTTTTTTCTTTTTTCTTCGTTTTATACATCATCGATTATATATATATATACACATATATATGTATATATGTGTGGAGTAAATTCATAGAAGGCGAAAAGTCGAGTACATACGTATGTATGCATCCCTCTTCAAAGAATTGGCAAGCATTCGACCCGACTCGAATCGAAGCCCGACCGCGAATCCACGAACGTCTTAGCGCGAAACCGTGTGTTACTGTATCTCTTTCTCTCTCTCTTTCTCACTCGATCTTTACGAAGAATAACGAAGTCGCACGAAGATATACCCCCACTAAATACCATTGCCGTTCGGTGCGGTCCCGACGAGTGAAAACGGACCGAGCCGAGTTTAACCGAAGCGTCTGTGGCCTGCGCCTTACGAGTCGACGCTGAGCGCCCTACGTCACAGTGAAGTATGTGCTCTCGAGTGTAGAAAATGGCTGAGCTCTCCGCTACCCCGGGTCGGCGCGGATGTAAATACGGCCTGTGGCTCGGCCTGGGAGTGTTTGTCGCGAGATTTCTCGGTGGTGAGTAAAGAATAACGTAAACGCGATTAAACTGACGTATTCCTTACAAATCGATCATTTAAATCGTAAAAACAGTGCAAGAGTTTTCGTGGTAAACGTTAGTCGAGAAGGAGAGGAATCGATCGGAGGATATGCAGAGGGACTGTGCGCGAGAACGATTGGTGTCCGTTCGCCTTCTGCCACACATATGTGCGGACACTCTCTATCTTTCTTTTACACACACATATACAAACAATATCCTTCCTCTCTCTCTCTTTCTCTTCCAAAGGAAACATCGCATCCCTCGTTTCTTCCCTTTATCGTATGTCGTCTTCTTTGTAGTCGTCGTCGTCGTCATATACTGCGGAGAGAAACGATCCCTCTTCTCACTCTTTCTCCTCCTCCTCATCCTCTTCTTCTTCTCCTCCAGCTTTAAGAGAGATCGTCGTCCGGCGCGCCCTCGATCCTTCCTTCTTCCACCTAGCTTTTTGCTCCGATTTCGAAGACGTCTCGAGGACGGACCAAGACGACTATGACGTCCCTCTCTCTTTCCCTCTCTCTCTTTCTCTCTCTCTCCTTTCTCATCGTCTCTCATTTCCATTGCAAGAGATCTCCCTTCGCAGCGCTCGTTTTCTCGTCTCTCTCTCTCTCTCTCTCTCTGTCTCTCTCTCTGTTTCTCTCTCTCTCTGTCTCTCTCTCTCTCTCTGTCTCTCTCTCTGTTTCTCTCTCTCTCTCTCTCTCTGTTTCTCTCTCTGTTTCTCTCTCTCTCTCTCTGTTTCTCTCTCTCTCTCTCTCTCTCTCTCTCTCTCTCTCTCTCTCTCTCTCTCTCTCTCTCTCTCTCTCTTTCTCTGCCTCTTAGCCTTTCCGATACACGCTGAAAATAGTGTGACGTCTCTTCTACGTGTGCGTGCCGATCTCGAGCTTCGTCTTATCCACCAAGATAATACGCTTCTCTTGCTTTCTCTCCGCGAACGTACGCACGTTTTTAACCCTTGAGAGAGAGAGAGAGAGAGAGAGAGAGAGAGAGAGAGAGAGAGAGAGAGAGAGAGAGAGAGAGAGAGAGAGAGAGAGAGAGAGAGAAAGATTGGATGCAGAGGTTAGGGACTGAAATACCAGCAGTTCCAGAGATTCCCGACGCCACCACGAAAACCTATCGTAGTATTCCTTTTCAGTAGCTAAGTTCTCTTTATTTTCATCCATCCTCTTATCCCCAAACTCTCCTTTTTCTTTTCATTCCTTTTCTTTTTTCTTCTCACCGAGTATTCTTTCCCCGCATGAATATTCCCAATATTATAACGTTTATGGAAACGATGTCTCGTCGTCTGTTTGCAAAATCAAATAGGATTTTCAATCCTTAGAATTTAATTTCAGTTGGATAAGATCGATTTGTTGGACGAACTATATAACAGTGAGACATTGTAAAGACACGCTTTGACAGCAGCATATCATTCTTCCTTTCTCTTCTCTCTCTCTCTTTTTCTCTCTCTCTCTTTCTCTCTCTCTTTCTCTATCTATCTATCTATCTATCTCTCTCTCATTATAGCGCGTCTCGCGACATCGCAACATCCTGTTTCAACGATTCCTGCAGTAACCTCAATGACGTTCCAAAAGCGTCGTACTGTCCGTTCGTTATTTTCTTCCGGTCCATTGTGAGCTCGTTTAATTAAAAGTCTTTTTGTCAGGTCATAAACTAATTGACTTGTATTTTTTTCTCTTTATTCGTTTGTTCTCTTTTCTTAATAAATATCATTGAATTAAAAACTTTTCTTTCTTTCTTTTTCTTTTTTCTTTTTTTGGCCATGTCGTTGAGTAACTTCGATGATAAAATCCAGGTGTTTTCTCTCTTCTTCTTCTTTTTTTTTTAAATTTTTGATATTGAAATTGAGAATTGTCAAAATTTATATTCTTGTCAAGTTTTCTTCGAAATATTCGTAATCTTGTTGTATAACGATGGTAACAGAGCCGCGAACATCTGATGTGTGTGTGTGTGCGTGTGCACGTGTGTTTATTTACATATATGTACATATATTTACACTGAATTCTTCGACGAAGTCACGGAAACTTATTATAAAAGAATACGGAAGGCTGAACAATCTTTGTTTTTCTGCGAAAAATCACGCTCGTTCATTGCATATTTTAGATAAATGTGTATAATTCTCAGTAAAGAAAAAATATCGATCTTCTAGCGATCCTAAGGACGCGCGAAAAGATTGCGTATCCTTTTCCGATATCCTATTAAACAGTAAACAACGGGATATGTAGCCGGATAATTTACTATTCATTCTTCCTTATCATCGTTCTTATTCTATTCATTGTTTTATTAATCGTGTTATCGTCGTCTTTTTTTGATTTATCTTTTGAAAGAATATTGAAGAAATCATCGATATATAATAAAGATCAATTTATGACATCAATGCCGAGAATGTCTGTTTGAGACTCATGATTGGTTGGTTACTTATTTAAATTAAATAGACGGATAAAGAAACTCTTTTTTGTATTATTTTTTTTCTTTTTTCTTTTTAAATAACATTAATATTTGAATAGTTATAATAATAATAATAAATATATATATAATAGATAATATAGAAATAATAATAATAATAACATATATTTATATAATAGATATAATAGAAATATTAATAATAATGAAAACAAAAATTGAAACTCAAAGAATCATGAAGTAAAGATATGGCGGATTCTGATTCGATCGTACTAATGTAAATATATAAGTATTGACCAATCGTAATTCAGTGCAACCAGCACTGAAGTACATCTTACGTCATGCGTTTTTACGTTTCGGAATCAATTTTCCTTGCTACCAGATATATATATATATATATTGTATTGTTGTGTGTCTATATATATATTAACAATACAGATGCAAATATATATATATATACACAATACGGTTATATATACATACATATATATATATACATACATATATAAATATATATATATTTATATTTATATTTATATTTATATTTATATTTATATTTATATTTATATAGTCCACATGCATGAGATTTTTTCTTCGTTATGTATTAAAAAACGTACATGTAGTTAGTATACGCGTTAGTTATCGCGGCGCATTGACGTTGATTTCGACGTAAAATAGTCGATGGATTGGAATGAAATCCATGGAAACGTGATCCTTGTCCTAATGGTGAGCAAATATTTGCAGATAACGATAACAGGGCGCCGTGTAAAACCAGATTTTCATGGGTGAATTATATCGAGAAAGATATTTATATCATATAGCATATATTAGTGATAAATTAACAAATACTATCATTTTTCTTAATTCCTTTTAAGCGAAATGAAAAATATCAGAAACTAGACAAAATTTACCAACACCAACGTAGGAGAAACAAACGTCTCGTCACGAGCCCTTCATTAATCACTTGTCCGATATTATATTATAAGTAAGGTGCACGATCGCACGTGCCCACAAGTTCTGCTTTTATTTTTACTCGGAAAGATAAGAACAAGTGTTAGGCTTTTTCCGAGACCAAGAGTCGTCTTTTAAATTATCAATTGTGAAATACGTGTTTTTTCCTTGAAATAAAAGTTGAAAATTTTTTTCTTTTATTTTTCCCTTTCATTTTTTCTTTTCTTTTGTTTTTACAAACCTAATACTTAAACTATCGAAAATAAATTTGTTCAAATTCTTTCATTTCTTTTTTTCTGTTTTTAATTTTTTTTTTTTTTTTTTTTTTTTTTTTTTTTTTTTTTTTTTTTTTTTTTTTTTTTTATGATTATTGAAATTTATGATTATTGAAATCACGATTGCTAATCCTAATTAACTAAAACGTTTATCAAAAGTTCTTGCTTATTTATTAATGTACAAAATTTAAATATATATTAAATCAGAGAAAACAAGCGGCCTGTCGTAAGTTCGTTCAAGTAATCGTAAATATCGTGAAAACTGATCAATAGTTCTAACGTTTAAGGAAAAAGAGAGAAAAAGAGAAAAAAGGAACTCATTCGTTCAAAAAACTTTATTTGAATAGTTACGAAATATCTCTCTCTCTCTCTTTCTCTTTCTCTCTCTTTGTCTTTCTCGCGTTATAAATGAAGTAAACGATAAATATAACGACGTACGATATATATATACGTGTGTGTGTGTGTGTGTGTAATAAATATATATATATAAATATATACATACTTATATATATAAGTGCATTACAATACGTGTTTGAGGAAAAAAACTTAAGCTTTTACAAAGAATCACTTGACTCAAACTCACGATCGAAATCACGATCTTGCGGGCGTAACGAGAATTATTATTCACCGATATTGCTATTTGCTATTGCTAGCTTACCGTGATTACTAACGTGAATTGAAATGTTATAATGGAAAACCCTCAAATGGGCGTATGAAAATACGTATATGTTTCTATGTTAACATATACCGATATGTAGTTCTTACAATTTTCTTTTAACATGCTTACAGTTTTACAAAACAGACGTTTTTTCTATTTCTAAAATAAAAATTAGAAACGTCCCGATCGCGCGAAGAATTTTCCGCGAAAAGAAAAATGAAGATGAAGGAAAGATTATTTACGAAGTGTATCGAGCGATCGCTCTAAAATTGCAGTCGACGATTAAACTCATTGACTGGATATTAATGGAAAAGTACTCATGCCTCATCTCACCTCTCCCTTCTATTTTCATTTCGAGATAGACAAGGATAAGAGACGATTTCATTTTCTCTATCTCTTTTACACACATACACAAACATTCGTTCATTCTGTCTCATTGCGATACTTGAACAAACGTTTGAAAGAGATGCGCTCACCTTCAACTCGTTTGCCATCGATCAATAGACTTATCTGAATTTACATTTTGCAGATAAGTTTATTGTCGATCGTAAATAATCTAATGTTCGAACTATCGACATACATATCAATTGCGATCATAAGTTATTGAAGAAGATATAAAGATCGCTTTTTTATTTGAACAATTTTTCTTTTAATAAGACGGGCCTCGTACGATAAGTATTATCCGTAACGAATAAGAATCGTTTAAATTTATCTTAACTTCTTAATAGTTGAGCTATTTAAATCTATATCCTGATCGTTAATTGCAACACACATAAATTGTAACACAGTTTCTCATCAGAATAGAATAGAAAAAAAATTTTATTATAATACAAATTCGATGATAATTAATCGCGCATATGAAGAAAACGTTTGAAGTTTGAACGACCTTGCCGGAAGGAATACATAACTATGATTAAATGCCGCATTATAAAAACCAGGGGAATGCCGGAGATTCGATATAAAAAACGGAAGTAGATATACATGTATTTTCGACTCTTGAGATGATCGAATTATATGTATACTTTTATATAAATATATATATATATATGTATATATATATATATATATATATATATATATATATATAAACACACACACATACACACATTGAGGAACTTAAGTAGTGTATTTCTATATTCCCCACTGTATATATATGTATATACATTCGATATGTGATCATACAACTGGACATAGGAAGCCAAAGAAAAAGAAGATAAAAATTCCACTTAAACTGAAATATGGAAGAGAAATTTGGCTGACTTGTAAAAAAAATACCGATTTCACCCTACTCGAAGGCATTATGTTATACGACAGCACATTGACCAAGAAATTGTCTGTACATGAAAAAACAGAAAATTGGATAAGGGGATGGGAGTGGAGGCGCATTATAGAACGACGTAAAAGAAGGTATTACGTATAATGTCGGTAGAAAAGGTATAGAAATGTCAATGAAATAAAGTAATAATGTGTCGCATAGTATGTTTCATACGCCAAGAGATTATGGATACGTTTTCTTATATAGTGAATAGTTAGGTTACGGGTGGGGGAATTTGAAGTAAAGGGTGGTTGGTTGGTAGCAGTAGTGCTGGTGGAGGGGCGAAAGAGAGAAAGAGAAAGAGAGAAACTAGCATCGTGCGTTACACGATTGAACGGACGCAGAACGCATGGAGGATCGATCCGTCATCCAGATATTTGGGGAGATTATAAATAGAGCGGTCACCGGAAAATAGACGCGCGAGGGAGTAATTCCGCGACGTAAGATAAGCGAGCTCCACTGTCGTCTCGCGACTATATAGCAATGCCTCGCGACTATCAGCCAACCAAGCAACCACCTTTCTTTTAGCTTTTCTTCCTTCTCCGTCTACACATCGTCGGTCTTTTTCTCCTCTTCCTCCTCCTTCTTCCTTTTCTTCTTCCTCTTCTTCTTCCTCTTCTTCTTCCTCTTCTTCCTCTTCTTTCTCCTCCTCCTTCTTTTCCTCCTCCTGCTTCTTCTTTTTTGTCGACACTCTGAACCATTTAACACAGCAATTCCCTAATTCCGAAGATAAAATCGCGTCTCACGTTTATCGCGATTCCTTTATTCCATCGTTTTCTCTTCTTATCTTTCTTTTCTCTGTTTTAAGCCATTGCAACAAACCATTACATTCTCAACTTTTACTTGTTTTCATTCTTTTATATAAAATATATATATATTTTATATAAAATATATAAAATATATCCAGAATATACAGAATCGAAAAAAAAAAATATTTTGTCGCTTTCAAGCGAAAGATAGAAAAAATCGTATTGACGTCTAGTTCCGTATGAGGAAAGAATTTGTTTATTTTGATTATGAAGATACGTAAACGACGCTCGTAAAGAGAGGGGGAGTAGAGAGAAAGAGAGAGAGAGAGAGAGAGAGAGAGAGAGAGAGAGAGAGAGAGAGAGAGAGAGAGAGAGAAATACTCTTATTATTTTTCCATGTTTCGTATCTTTAATGATTCGATTTTATTGTCAGATGATTAAATTTGTTTATAAACTTCCCGCTCTTGATTCATTGCGACGCATTTCTCGTTGATTTTTGCAAGCCCGAGATAACCTTAAACTCCGTACACAATCCGATGCCACGCTTTAGTTTTATCGATCAAATTTGCGTATCAGTCGAAATGTAAAGAGGTTACATCGTTCTTCTTTTTTAATAAAATGTTTCTAAAGAAAAAAAAATATTTTACGATTTAATAATATTTTGTTTCGTCTATGAAACCGATATAAACGGTCTCTCGTACGAGGAACTTCTTTTGTGATTAACAACGTACATAAAATTCCACTTCTGTAGGTTAGCTTACAAGATAAATAGAATGAAACTTATCCTTTGTATCTTTAATCCCGATCACCTTCGCGCTTTACTTTGTAATCAGTATGTATCAAGTTCCTGCCTTCGAGCTAATCTTTTTGGTATCGATGATACTACAATGATTCATTTCCTTTTTTCCACGTTTATCAACAATGGCTCATTTTGATGTAGAATTAACGTTCTATATAAAAATATGTTTTTTCTCTTCTTTCGTACCTACGACATTTTGTACGTAATTGTAAAAGGAGGAGGGTAAAGCGAATATACTTCAGTTTGATAAAACAAAAATATAGACATTTATTATTATTATTATTATTATTATTATTATTATTATTATTATTATTATTATTATTATTATTATTGTTATTGTTATTGTTATTGTTATTGTTATTGTTATTGTTATTGTTATTGTTGTTATTATTATTATTATTATTATTATTTTCATTGATAAAACATCTTCCACATTTGGTCAAGACATATATACGCAATTTAGTATTAGAACATTTATTCGAATACGGACTTTCTCCTTTTTAAAGTATATTCCTCGAAATCGTAAAAGAGTTTCTCTTTGGCCTGCCAATCAATGAAATTCGATTAAAATCGATCAGTTCTGCAAGTTCGTTGACTGAACTTCTAAAATTACATGTACCCACACATACGTATCCCATTATGATTTTTAAAATTAAGATGTCCAGTGAAGATGGGAATGAAATTATTTTATATTTTTATTCCTCGTTAAATACGATTATATTTTATCAACGAACCGAAAATGAACAAGTTTTTTGTTCCTTCTGATGACTATTCATTCGTTGAGAGTCGTGGGTAGTGATGCTCATCCGCCTACATAATACATCGATGCTTGGCAAATCTTTTTCGAATTCATTCGATATTAGATGCTTGATTCTATATACCATTCGTCGGTACTTTATAGAATCTTTGAATCTTAAAACTATGTCTATATGATTAGTAGTATACTCTTTAACAGCTCTCTCTCTCTTTCTCTCTTTCTCTCTCTCTCTCTCTTTCTTTCTCTCTCTTTTTTCTTCCTTTCCTTTTTTTAACCATCTACTATATTTAAGTTACATATATAGAATTTATTTATCAATATATAACCTCAAAGTTATATTAAACATTTTCTTTCTGTCTTGTTATTAGGAAACAAGCATTGAACGATCCAACGTTTGTTTCTAGCTTAGAAAACCTATGTAATAATACAATATTTGCATATTTTCAAAGTTAAAATAATTCATTGATACTCGATTTTCTTGTATCTTTATTGATATCAGATCGATATAAATGGTTTCCGTTTTTTCTTTCTTTTTTTCTTTCAGTGCTGGGAATTACTTGCTACTGTGAAGGACACTGTCCAGATGACCGACAAAACGGTACTTGCGAAGGAAGACCCGGTGGACATTGTTTTAGCGCCGTAGAAGAAGTATGGGATGCGGAACTCGGAGAATATGTTCCAGAATGGTCCTTTGGATGTTTGCCACCGGACGAACAGGGTTTCCTGCAATGCAAAGGCTACCTCGTTCCACATCTACAAGGAAAAAACATAATTTGTTGCAACAAGACAGCTCTGTGTAACAAGGAGTTATTTCCAGAGTACAAGCCTCGTCCCACCGCAGCACCAGATCCTATAGCTATTGCTTCTGGAGCACCACTCATCATACTAGCTGCTTCATTATCTGTGTGTTTAACTGTTATTTTGATAGCAATGGTGATCATATATCATAGGTATAGAAGAAAAGAAAGGGGCCCATGCTTAGTACCTTCTCAAGGAACGCTTAGAGATTTTATAGATCAGAGTAGTGGATCAGGTTCTGGACTACCTCTTTTAGTACAAAGAACTATAGCTAAACAGTTGGCTTTATCACAGTGCGTGGGAAAAGGTAGATATGGTGAAGTATGGCTTGCACGATGGAGAGGAGAAAAAGTGGCAGTGAAGGTTTTCTTCACTCTGGAAGAAGCATCTTGGTTTCGTGAAACTGAAATCTATCAAACTGTTCTAATGAGGCATGATAATATCTTAGGCTTCATTGCCGCCGATATTAAAGGAACAGGATCTTGGACTCAAATGTTATTAATTACAGACTATCATGAAAGAGGTTCTTTACATGATTATTTACAAACCACCGTGCTAGACCATGCAGGCTTATTGGCTATCTGTCTTTCCATTGCATCGGGTATCGCTCATCTACATACAGAAATTTTTGGAACTCGTGGAAAACCAGCGATAGCTCACAGAGATATCAAAAGCAGAAATATCTTAGTCAAAAGAAATGGTGAATGTGCAATTGCTGACTTTGGTTTAGCTGTACGTTTTATAAGGTATATCAGTTTTTCTAATAACACATATATTGACTTTGATATATTACACTATTGAATTTCTAAGAATATATTGATTATTGTTTTGATGTAGTGAAAGCGGAGAAATCGATATTGCGCCTAATACGCGAGTAGGAACCAGAAGGTACATGGCTCCAGAAGTGTTGGATGAAAGTTTGAACACATCGTCGTTTGATGCTTTCAAAATGGCAGACATGTACTCTGTAGGATTAGTTTTATGGGAAGCATGTAGACGTTGTGTAACAGGTAGTAAGAATTCTATTGTGGAACCATACGCGTTGCCTTATCACGACGTTGTCCCAAATGATCCAGATTTTGAAGACATGCGATTAGCTGTATGCATAAAACGTTTGCGTCCTGTTATTCCTACGAGATGGGATAATGATCCAGTAAGCCAATTAATTTTACGTATTTTTACACCCACCTATATGTTTATAATATATTATACATATTTTTAATTAAAAATAAGCATTAATATGTTCTTTTACTTTTCTTTTTTCAGATACTGTTTGCGTTGAGTAAACTAATGGCAGAGTGTTGGCATGCAAATCCTGCTGTGCGTTTAACAGCACTTCGTGTTAAAAAGACAATGTCAAAATTACATATTGACAATGCCATTAAGATTGTGTAGTGCTTGGCAACGTTACTCAAAACTGTTATTCTCATCTCCTAGATAAAAAAAATATGTTTAACCCCTTGTAAATATGCCCTTTGTGTACATAGAACTATTGACAGACTGCAGCCTGAAGACTGAGTACTAAAATTTACAAATACATAAAGATGGACAAGAATGTGCGTGCATTGCGTCTGCATCTGCATCTCCGTTTGTATGTATGTGTGCGTGTATGTATGATGAACGAAAATTGTGAATATTTGAAAGTAATTACGAATGTGACCGTGATATATATATATATATATATATATATATATATATATATATATAATATAATATAAATTATATATATAAATTATATATATATAATTTTTTTTCCCGTGAATCGCGCCAAAGCCATGCTTTTGCCAAAGTTTTGGCGCGTTTCACTGTATTAAAGTTGATTGAGTATCTAATCAACGAAGGCTACTACTTAGATACAAAACTATAATTATTTCCACAAAGATGTTCATTTTAAACATGAAGAAAGCTGTTTATATATTTGGAAATAGATCCAGCATATAGTAAAAATACATATAGGTAATATGAAACTCATTTAAAGATACATAATTAGGATGTACTAAAACAAACCGCGTATATGCAAATGCCTGTTCTTTTACATCTATCTTAATTACTATAAGAGATTACATAAACCTAAGAGATTATGAAATATTTCAGTACTTTCAAAAAATACCTATATGAATAATAGTATTTCAAAAAAGTATGTCTATAATTGTCTCGATTTTTAATATATCAATGTATGCTAGTTCTGTTTCTGAATATCTTTAGAGGCAATTGCTTTTATGGAGATTAGTTATGGTTATTAATTATGAAAATTAATACAAATTCTTACAAAATATAAAAAATGAAAATCGATATTAAATATTATTCCATTGAGAAAAATGGAAGTACAAGACAAAGGTTTATTGTTTTTCTTATGTCTCTGATTGTATAATAATGTTATGGCTTTTTTGTTATTTGATACAAATCATGTGATTTTTCGTCTACTTGCATTGGTTTTTTATTATATTGTAATTAACAAACATCGACCACTGCAGGATAGTATAATTTATTATTCTTTTAAATGTAACAACACATATTTTTTTATCAACTTTTAACTAATTTAATAGAAAATTCTATATATTGTAAAATGCAAGCAGTGAGAAAGTACTTTGAAAACATAATTTTACAAATTTACAAAGATTTTTTAGATAATTATTATGGCTTGTGTATTACCATAGGTAATTATACTTTGACTTAAAAGAACGATAAATCAACGATAAACTTAAAGAATTAAATAATATACCAGTTAAAAGTTAATATATCGTATCATCGAAATTGCTTCTTGTCATTTTGTTCTATAAGTTTCAAATGCCATAAACTAATCTGTATTACCTGTACAGTATATAATTTAGGTTTCTAATTTGTACAAACAAGCATATTAATTAAACTAATAGCAATTAAAATGTTGCTGTAATGTCAAAGAATGATTTTAAGTCTATGGTTGTTATACCAAACTAAACTATAAAAAGTCATACTTATGAAGGTAAACTAATGCATCTTGCGCTTAAATTATATAGCGATCAATCTTTTGCTACTAAATATTATTATTTTCCACTATGAGGTAACGAGCAGCATAGAACAATTTAAAATCAGGTATTAAATTGCAAATTATCTTTATAGTGCAATAATCATTATGTTATGTAAAAGATATTATTTGTCAAAGTGATATGGTTTTTGCATATCTTTATAATATCTATTGCACTCAATTGTAAAGATTTTACCATGAAAAAGTTGTTACTATAATTTTATAAACTATAAAGCCAGACTTTTGGTCGTTGACTCAACATTGTTATGTTATTAAATATGATTCCCATGTGCTATAATATGGGAATAACTGTTGCATATTACCTTATATCTTCTGTAGGAAGATCATTGTAATTATATTAAAAATTGTAGTTATTAGCTAGTTGATTGAAAGTAATGAAATTTATATTTTTAACAAGTATTAAACAATATCATCTTTTTCCAGATATGCTCATTTTATTTATTGCAAGTGCATACTATTCATTCCTTATAACATTTTTTGTAATAGAATACATTAATTTATCGGAATATTCGAAATATAATGGTCTAAGCAACGATAGCAACGATTTTACGGATAATGTCCTTGATTTCTTTTTGGTAATAAGACTGCGCGCGCGCAAATTCTGAATTGAAACATCCATATTATATATATTACATATGTATGTATATACATACTATGTTTTTAAGATTATTAATAGCGTTTAATTTAAAAGATCAGATGAGATTTCGTCTCTGATATCCTGATATTTTCTACATAAAAAATATTTATCGATTTAAATCTTCAATTTGTTTAATCTAACATTGATCTTTAATATATTCATTAACGTTATTAGAAAAACGTTACACGATCTTTTGTAATTTATAGCTTAAAATATGAAATGTAAGTTCTGCCGGTATTGTCGATGTCTCTAGTGTAGATGCAAAAACTACATATCGAACGCAAGGAATTATGGTCCGATAAAGGGAGTGTCGATCACTATTGCCAAATCAAATTTTTTGAAATCCCTACATCGACATAAAAGAAAAAAAAGGAATTCACGATCTTTTATAATATATTTGAAGAATTTAAGATTATGAAATAAATAAAACGCTTTCTCACTTTATTATTAAAATAAAATCATGCGTAGTAATGAAATTTGGTAATGATATCATTTGTATAGTGAGATCGTATGCACAAGTTTGCAACTCTGAGCCATATCAGTGGAATTGCTTCATCGCACCGCCTTCCTCTTCCCGGTCTGTTTCGGTGCGGCCATTTTTTATTTCGGAAGCGTGTAGGTTCGCGTCGTATTGTATCGCGTTGTTTTACAGAATTTACTGACTTGGTGAGTACCCAACACATTAAAAATTTATATCTATAGGTATTTTATCAATTTGTCGAAAAAATACATAGAGAAGAATACTCGTATGACTTGTATCGGAAAAGAATCATGTCGTTGTCGGATCACGCCATTTCGTCTTATTCTAGCATTACCGCTTTTTCTATCTTATTATTTCTTATTTCGTTGAAAACGAAAATGATACGGTGTTTTATTTCGTACGAAATAAATTTCAAACAGTAATTTCAACGTGAGTCTCGTTTTACGAACGATTATTTCGATTGTAAAATCTGTACAAGTGTAAATGACGCATCACGTCTGTGTACTCGTCTATATAGTTATTCCTTTGCCTCTTCTCACTTATTCCAATCCTCACATTACTACTGCTGAATGCAGTTTACTCTTGGGACGGTAATTTTCCGCTTTGTCGTCTTGTAAGACGATCCAAAAATTCGATCATGTTGCATTTCAACTTATAACAGACATATGTATCTATGTACATACATACATATATATATATAATATATATATATATTTCTTATCACAAACAAATCAAATGCAAAATTAATATTTCAATTGTATTCTATTATATAATATGTATTGCTATCGTACATCTCTCTGATAAAATCTTTGTTGTTTTTATTTGTTTCGTGTACTCCGTCTTAACAAAAAGTAATAATGGGTTATAAGAAATGATAACGTATTCTTCGGAAGATTTAGTTCTTTTCATAGGTCATTTGAAACGTGACGTGTTATTGTTTACAAAATCCAAAAAAAAAAATTGAAGAATGTAATACAATATCCGGCGTAATACGACGTTCAATATATGTACTTTTTTTTACTAAAGTAGAACAAAGAATCAACTATGACATATGTATAGTAGTAGTAGTAATTGTGTGTATGTGTGTGTGTGCATGTGTGCATGCATATATATCATTATTTAAATATGTATACACATGCTACACACATATTACGAAATTTCTATTCGTTCTTTGCCTTTAAATTCTTTATTTTAAAAACGCTTGATCCTTGACATAACTTAGATCGCAAACGAATAATTTTATATCAAAAGTTATATATTCCAAGAGAAGTCAATTTTCAGACTATTAACAAATCGAAATTAACCGGAAAATTGTGCGGCGTTAAGTGTCAGAAGAAATGTGTTAAAACATATTATCATTAGCTCATTAGAAATCGCGTTGTTTATAATTGGGGTTATTAAAAATGGCGGCGGTTAAACTATTGCGTGTAAAGTCAATGTAAAGGAGACTGGGAAAACAACGTCGGTATAGAAGCTAACGGAACGCCGTGTACATAGTCAAGTTGGCTACGCCGGAAGAGACGCGTTCTTGATAGGTTTAAGAACGTATCGTATGATTGGACCGACTTGACCAATAGAATCGCAGCACCGAACATTTCTTACACGACGCGGCAAGCGAGACGCCGCCATTACGTTGATTTCATCTCTCTCGTGTGGATGTTCTGACGGTTGGTTGCTGGTGTCGTTTGGTGTTGTTTCAATTACATCGTGTTTCCAAAACAAAGAATATTAACAAATAAAGGATAGTATCGTAGAAAAGAGATATCTTTCGTTGCTTACAAAAAGGAAGCGCTGTATTTTCGCAGGAGCAAAGCCGCGCGCGCCATTTCACGAAGGTCAGTGAGCGTTGAACTACTACGTGCTTTCACGGCATTCCGGGCGATCTCGTTCGTAGTAATATATTCTCGCAAGTTAGCTTAGTGAGGATAAAAATAGAAGGTATATATGTTTTTTTCGTAACGTTCTAACTTTTATACTCGATATACTTGAAATCTCAAACGACGTGGAGCGTGTCGAAATATTTGGCATTTTGGTGATTGTAAATGTGGAAGATCGCCAAGCAAATGGTGGATGAAAGCGTCAGAGCTGTAATCAAACTTAAGCGTCTTTGCTCAATTCCCGCCTTACTTGCTCAAACTTGAATAATCTATTTAGAAGGCTTATGCACACAATCGTTATCTTTAAATTCACTTATAACTATTATTTATTTCTTCCTTTAACAGTTTTATGTAAATTGTTACGTTGTGTGGTGTAATAAACCATGTTTTTTTCATGTACTTTTATTTATCTAATACGGAAATCGTATTACTCATGCATTGGTTAGAACGTAAGATTGTTTTGTCTGTTTACAGAAATAAAAGCAGAAACTTAATCTTATAAAATGTTATTCTCATAATGATACTTCACATAAATTTAGTTAATATATGATTGAGATATATTAAGATAAGTGAGATTTTCAGTTAATCAAAAGATTCATTTAGTCATGATTTTTGTATTTGTTTATGATTACATGAAAGGTATTAATGCCAATTCTTTTTTGTCAAAGCTATGATCATACATTAAATACGTTTGTTTGTTTTGATAATGTTTTTTATAATTTTTTATATATATAGTAAATGTTTTTCTAATAGGTTCTAAAACGAGCCGAAAATGCCGGGTTTTAGCAGCGTTGGTACATTCAAAATTTTCATCGGTAACTTGGCTGATAAAACATCAAATGCTGATATCAAGCCACTTTTTGAGAAATATGGAAAGGTCGTAGAGTGTGATGTTGTTAAGAATTATGGATTTGTGGTAAGTTATCGGACATGCAAAAACTTTAAATTTGTTTTACCTACATAAACATAATTCCTCTTTATTCTGTTTATTAGCATATGGAAAATGAAGAAGCAGGAAGAAATGCGATACAAAATTTGAATGGACATATAGTTCATGGTCAGCCCATAAAATGCGAAGCTGCTAAAAGTCGTAAAGGACCCAACACTCCTACGACCAAAATCTTTGTTGGCAATCTCACAGACAATACAAAAGCACCTCAAGTGCGCGAATTGTTTGCCAAATATGGCACTGTCGTAGAATGCGACATAGTGAGAAATTATGGATTTGTCCATCTAGAAGCCACAGGTGATGTGAATGATGCCATCAAGGAGCTTAATGGGCAAATTGTGGATGGTCAACCTATGAAGGTTCAAATTTCCACCAGCAGAGTACGACAAAGGCCAGGAATGGGAGATCCAGAACAATGCTACCGATGCGGACGCGGAGGTCATTGGTCCAAGGAATGTCCAAAAGGCGGAATGGGAGGAGGACCGGATAGGAACGGATTCAGGGACCGAATGTTTGGACGTGACCCGTATCCTCCACCGCCGCCACCACCTTTCCTTCGGGACCGGCTAATGGGTGGTGGCCGCTTTGGAGTAAGTACATTTTGAGTTAATCGATCGTGACACCGTTGCTTCGAAAGGCTAGGGCTAGCCGTATGTAGCCTGGTATAGCCTCGTACACTTCGAAGTTTAATTTTTTTTTCTTCTCTTTTTTTTTTTTCTTTTTTTTTTTTTTTTTTTTTTTTTTTTTTTTTGGAATTTTCTTTCTGCAAACAGGACTACGAAAGCTACTATGACAGGAGGGGCTTTGACGACACCAGGGATCTCTACGAGAGGCGGTTTACGGGTATGACAGGGCCCTGTGACATGGGAACTTCCATGTGCGGGCTAGACTTTCCACCAATGACAATGCCACCTCTACCTCCAAGACGAGACCCAATGCCTCCTATGCCTCCTCTAGGTATGGGATCCATGCGCGATACTGGCTTTTCCCGAGGCAACGATTATGGCATGTTCAGCCGACGATCACCCCCTCCGAGTGGCAACAACGGCCGGTTCAGGTGAGTAGAGCCGGAGTACCGACAGCCCATTCGTCCGACTTAACATTGTGAACGTTCCAGGCTGGATTAACAGCTCATGCGAATTGGGGTTCGGTGATTCGTCGACATTTTATTATTCCATTACATTTTTTCATTCTTATATACTTTGAACCTTCACTTTTTCTTTTTCTTTGCCTCGCCGTTCATAAAAAGTTGACGAAATTATCTTTTATTTTCGGTGGGCTTCGCGTTCGCGTTTATTTCTCTTTCTCTCTTCCTCTTTCTCTATCTCTGTTTCTAATTCTATCTCTCTCTCTCTCTCTCTCTCTCTCTCTCTCTCTCTCTCTCTCTGTCTCTCTCTCTGTCTCTCTCTCTCTCTCTCTCTCTCTCTCTCTCTCTCTCTCTCTCTCTCTCTCTCACTCTCTCTCACTCCCCTCCCTCTCC